CGCCCCCAGCCCTACCTGAGTCCCAGGGAGCTGGAAGGGCTCTGGGAGATCCTCTGGTCACCCATCTTCATTCTCCAGATGATGGCTTTTGCTGCCCTGGCTTATGGCATTGGACAGGTGGCCTTTTCCCTCCCCACCCTGATACACTGTCCTTCCTCCCTGGCCTCCAGGACACCCCTCCTCCCCGGGTTTGCCTTTCAACTCTCTGGCGGCTCCTTCTTGGTCCCCTCTGCTGGTGCCTCCTCCTCACTCCCACCTCGTCCTGTCAGTATCCCTGGGCCCGGTCCTTCGGTCCTTCGTTGTCTTTCTGTCTGCTCTCCCTCTGATCTCGTCCTTTAATTGTCAGCCGTCTGCTGACAGCTCCCATATGTGCATCTGAGACCTCAGACTCTCTCCCTGCAGACTTAGGATTCTCCTATTCACCTGCCTTCTCGGCATCTCCACTCACCCATCTGGGAGACATCTCCAACCTTACCCAGCCAGACCCCTCCGAGTTGCTCTGCCTTCAGTCTTCCCCCCTCAGTTCACGACAGCTTTGTCTCCCAGTGTTCAAGCCAAAGTCCTTGGGGTGCCCTAAGACCCGACCACCTCCCATCCCCTCCACTGCTGCCACCTGGGCCAAATTACCATTACCGCTCACCTGGATTATCACAACCACCTCCTCACCCTGCTTCTGTCTTTGCCCTCTGCAGCCTCTTCTCCACAGAGCAACCAGAGTTAACCGGGGTTGACCATTGTCTGTGGGTCCCATCATGTCCTCCTCCACTCAAAACTCTCCCATGGCTCCCATCTTATTCAAATAAGAGCCAAGTCCCACAAACCCCCAGCTGACCTGTGCCTCCTTTACTTCCCCAGCTCTTACCTTTTTAAAAATTCATCTCCTCCTGCTGTCCCCCTTAATTCAGCCACCTTGTACACTCCCATCACAGGGACTTTGCACGGGCTATTCCCTTTGCTTGGAAGATTTTTCCTCCAAGAATAAGAATGGCTCCTTCCCTCACCCCCTTTGAATCTTTGCTCACATGTCAGCTTCTTAATGAGGCCTTCTCTGACCACCCCACTGAAAATTGCAAACCACCTCCTTTTACCACTGCCCATCACCTCCCACTTATCCTGCTCTAATTTTGTCTTTGCAATTATGGCCTTCCAACACACTGTATAATTGACTTCTTTATCTGGTCTATTGCTTATGTATCTTTTTTTTTTTTTAAGATTTTATTTATTTACCTGATAGAGAGAGACACAGTGAGAGAAGGAACACAAGCAGGGGGAGTGGGAGAGGGAGAAGCAGGCCTCCTGCGGAGCAGGGAGCCCGATGCAGGGCGTGATCCCAGGATGCTGGGATCACGACCCAAGCCGAAGGCAGACGCCCAACCGACTGAGCCACCCAGGAGCCCCTTATCTATCTTTTCAACTAGAATGTCAGCTCCACCAGGGCAGGAATCTGTTATCCCTTTTTCACAGCCATATCCCACTGACTACCCCAGTGCGGGGCATTTTATCAAGTGAATACCCTAAGGTTCCAAAGCCCAGAATGAGTGCCTGTCCTGCACAGGTGGTGCCGTGGGAGTCACTGGCTTGGGGGCATCCCCCTCTCACCCTCCTTCAGGTTGACTCACCTTGGACAAGTCACTCAGTCATTCTATTTTTTTTTTTTTAAAGATTTTATTTATTTATTTGAGAGAGAGAGAATGAGAGAGAGCACATGAGAGGGGATAGGGTCAGAGGGAGAAGCAGACTCCCCGCCGAGCAGGGAGCCCGATGCGGGACTCGATCCAGGGACTCCAGGATCATGGCCTGAGCCGAAGGCAGTCGCTTAACCGACTGAGCCACCCAGGCGCCCTCACTCAGTCATTCTAGACCTCCTCTCTGAAAAATGAAGATGCTATGTGTGTACCAAGGGCTTAATAATGGCTGGCACGTGCAAACATATGAACATTAGAAAAACTTGACCCCTGGCATTCTAATGCAATTTACACTTTTCCATTCAGGATTTCATTCCACCCTCACAACAACCCCAGAGGTAGGTAGGACAGATGATGGCCTTTCACCTTTTTACAGGTGGAAACACTGAAGCCTTTTTTGACAGGTGGAAGAACAGCGGGGAGGCCTGGGCCCCTCCCCGCGTGACTGGACAGATGATGTCTGACCCCCTCCCCGCGCCGGGCGCGCACGGGCGGTTCCGAGGCTCGAGAGGGTCCCGGACGGAAGCGGGATGGGGAAGAGTGCTGGGGCTCGGCGCCCGGGGGACTACATTTCCCAGGAGGAGTTGCCTGCAGCTCTGTGGCTCCCGGGTTTTTAAAGAGCTCGCGTAAAAGGGGGCGGGCGGAGGGGGGAGTTTCGCAGTCGGCCGGCCGGAAAACGGCTTGGCGCTTGGTGCGGACCGGAGAGCCGCCTGTGGGGGTCCCGGCCGGAGTCAAGAAGACCCCAGGCCCTGCAGTGTCAGCCAGGCGAGGTGAGGCAAAGCCAATCTGGAGGCAGCCTTTCCTCATCTTGTCCCCCTTGATCTCGGACTCTGCGCCCAACTCCCGGCCCCCTCCCTTCTCCTCCAATTCTCCCTAACTGGGGCGGGGGGGGGGCGGTTGGGGCGGTGAATCCCGCAGCTGGCGGGAAGCCCCCGCGACTCCGAGGCCACCCATCCGTCCATTTCTGGCTTCAGTTCCGGGAGAGAATTTACAGGTCTCTGGGATGGGCAGGGATATGGGATGTGAGGCTACAAAATGAAGCGAAGACCTGGGGGCGCCGGGAGCTGAGCCTCACCGTGTGCCCCCATTATCTATCCTTCCGAATCCCGCAGCTTCCACGGTAAAATGGGGATAATCTGGGGAGTGATTACGTTGGCTGCCTCCCCAGGCTGGAGGCGCAAAGAATCAAGAAACGAGTGGAGAGCAAGCACTTTGCCAACTGTAAGGCGTTGTGTAAATAAAATTGTTTCATCATCGTGCCAAAGGATTCATCTAGTCCTTATTTTAAGACACCCAGGGCCGTGGCGTGGGTGGGGGGTGTGGCGTGTGGGGGGTGTGTACACATCTCAGACTCGGGGGTGGCTATTTGGATTGCCTATTTCCCCCTCCAGATCTTAGTGGGAACCAGAATTGTCTTTGTAAATAACTAAAACGAATCCACCAGAATGTTGTGTTTTCAAATCAGGAAACTTCGGGGTAATTGACATCATCCAAATAAGAACCTTGACCTTTTGAACTAACCTGGCCCTTCGTGGCTTCCCTTCCCTGCCTGTGCCACCAAGATAAGCCGTGGAGAAGGCATCTGATAGAGAGTCTCAGGCCTCCCTCTCCCGCCTCCCAATCATTTGGATTAATCCACCCTTTGGTGTTTGTGGGGGAAACCTATTAATTTCCCTGGCCTCAGAGACTCCCCAAGTCCAGTAGGAGCCCTTACCCCCCACCCGCAGCTACGACCCCCCACCCCCCACCTAAACCCTCCAACCATCCCCCTCTCCCCTCCCCAACAGCCAGTGTCTGCAAACAACTCCCGGACCGTACCAGAGACACGTTCATCATTTTGACCAGCTATAAACCCCCACTCCCAGGGTATTGTTTCAATGAAGTGTGCCCTGCCTCTCTGCTTGGGGAATAAAAGCGGATTTGTTGTGGGAGGGGGCTTAGGGAGGGAGCATCCCAGAATCTCAACCCAGGGTCCCAGCCAAGCGGGCCCTGCACGTGATTAGGATGTGTGTCATTGACAAGGGGTCCTAGGAACTCTGGGGTCCCTTCTGCTGGCCTCTGGGCCCCGAAAGTCCCTCGGAGCCCCTCAAGACTCCCTTCAGACGGTGACGCCCCTTGTTCGCCTCATCTGTACCTGCCAAGCAGCACGGAAAAGAGGTATACATTTTAACAAAGACCTCGCATCCTCCCAGCAAAATGGCGGTGGTCCCGGCCACCGCTCCCTGAACAACTGCACACTTTCCGAGGATTAGTCAGGACCCAAGGAACGCGACCCCCTCCTCCGCCTCTCCCCCAGGGCCCCGTTTTCCCAAGTTCCCAAAGCACTCAGGGCCTCTCTTCATCCCAGGGGCCCCCAGGACAAGCCTCCTGTTGGAGGCTTTGTGACAGTCTCTCCATTGCAGACCCCCCCACACACTGCCTTCAAGGGATCTTGGGAGGGGGACTTGACCCCCAGGGTTGCCTCAGGGGTGGGGGCAGCAAGGTTCTGCCTCTGAGACCCCGAAACTCCTAGGCTGAGAGAGGCATATAAATGAATTCCCTCTTAGGATATATGGGCGATGTGGGGGTCTTTGAGGAAAGGAGAGAACTCGGGAGCCCTCTCCTCATTCCCTCCAGGGTCCCGGGCAGTAGTGGGGGTTCGGCCTCAGGAAAGAACCTCCACACAGAGGTCAGGGGGCACGCTGGGGGAGAGCCGGCCGAGGAGGGGGAAGGGACAAAGTTTGAAAGTGCCCTTCCAACTCTTCCAGGGAAAGTTTGCTTAGGGGCCCCAAGGACAGAGAAGAGGTAGAGGTGCGGGGGGCCCGGTGGCGGGATGACCCCCGAGAGGTGACCAGACCCCGGGGGAGCGACCCCTCCCCCCTGTCCCGGCTCGGCCCGGCTGGGAGTCGCCCGGCTCGGGGCAGCGTGTGTTAGTTGGGGCCGCTTTCCAGCCGCTCCGCCGGGCTGGGGGGTCCCGCCGCGGGCCGGGAGCGGGGTCTCCGGTAGCCCCAGGGGGGAGCTTTGCTACGGGGGGTTTCCTGCACCCGGGCTCCCCGGCCCCGCAGAGCCAGCCCCCCGCAAAGGGGAAATGTGCAGGCGCACCAGCGGTCCTCGGCGCCGTTTGGGGCGCGTGGCGGGCGCGGGGGGCGGCGGCCGGGCCGGCGGGATGCCCGGCGGGGGAGCCCAGGGAGCCAGGCAGCGGTCCCGGGCGGCGGCGGGGAGCGGGAAGGCCCGGGCCGGGGGTAAAGGTCGGATTTGCTCGGCGGAAGAAACACAGATGGCGGCGGCGCGGCGCCATTCCGGGCCGGGAGCAGGCAGCCAGCAGCCCTGTCCTCACCGCGGTCCGCCCGCCGCCGCTAAATACCCGGATGCGCCGCCCGAGCGCCAGACGCGGAGCTGGGAAAAGGGAGGCAGAGGAGGTGGAGGCACAGCCCGAGCCTGATCCCGAGCCCGAGCCGGAGCCGCAGCCGCAGCCGGGCGCCGAGACCGACCGACAGACCGCCGGGGCTGGGCCACGCAGAGCCGGCCCGGCGAGTCGTCTCGCGACTCGAGCCAGGTCCCCGAGAGCCGGGCCCCGGACTGGCCCGGGAGTCCGGAGGAGCGCCAGAGCGGATCCCGAGTAAGGCTTTCCTGGGCCTCCGACGAGGGCTGGCCCTTTTGAAGGCGCCTCCTTCAACAGCAGGACCAGACAGGCCACCATGACCGAGAATTCCACGTCCACCCCTGCGGCCAAGCCCAAGCGGGCCAAGGCCTCCAAGAAGTCCACAGACCACCCCAAGTATTCAGACATGATCGTGGCTGCCATCCAGGCGGAGAAGAACCGCGCTGGCTCCTCGCGCCAGTCCATCCAGAAGTACATCAAGAGCCACTACAAGGTGGGTGAGAACGCCGACTCGCAGATCAAGTTGTCCATCAAGCGCCTGGTCACCACTGGGGTCCTCAAGCAGACCAAAGGGGTGGGTGCCTCAGGGTCCTTCCGGCTGGCCAAAAGTGACGAGCCCAAGAGGTCAGTGGCCTTCAAGAAGACGAAGAAGGAAGTCAAGAAGGTGGCCACGCCAAAGAAGGCAGCCAAGCCCAAGAAGGCTGCTTCCAAAGCCCCAAGCAAGAAGCCCAAAGCCACCCCAGTCAAGAAGGCCAAGAAGAAGCCGGCTGCCACGCCCAAGAAAACCAAAAAACCCAAGACTGTCAAGGCCAAGCCAGTCAAGGCATCCAAGCCTAAGAAGGCCAAACCAGTGAAGCCCAAAGCCAAGTCCAGTGCCAAGAGGGCCGGCAAGAAGAAGTGACAATGAGGCTTTTCTTGTGGACACTCCTGCCTGTCTCCTATTTTCTGTAAATACTTTTCTCTTTTCTTCTCTCTTGATCTTCATCTGCAGTCCTTGGCCCTTTCTGTTCTGACTTCATAAGCGAATTTGGATTCCTCAGAAATTAGGGAATAATTCATTTTTCCTTAACCAATCGTGCAAGGACAGCAACAACAAATCTCATCTCTAATGATGAGAATGTACTTATGTTTTGTTTCGTTGACTTGTTATTAATCTACTTAATGGGTTTAGGGACTTGGGTGGGTTTGTGTGTTTTGTTTGGTTGGATGGTTTGTTCAATATGAAGGTAAAGGGGTGGGAGAGAATGGGCAAGGCCGCTGGTTCCAACTGGATGGGGGGGGAGCCCGGAAATGGTAAGGTTTGGAGGAGTATCTTTAAGGTGAGCCAGCCTTCTCTAGGTTGCACACCCCTTGTGAGAGTTCCAGAACCTTGGTGGGGAGAAGGAAGGGGTGGCAGCAGCTGGATGGCAAAGGAGGGAGGTGGGAAAAAACACTCTCCGGGCTGACTTCCACCTTCCAATAGTGAGCAGTGGGGGGTCCAAATCCAGTTTCCTTCTCACTGTTAGTTTGCTCCTGTGGCCTCCCTATTGTCCTAGGGAAGGGAAGGGGGGGTCAAAGTGACAGCTGGTCTGGGAAGCAGTGGCTTCTCTCAGTCAGCTGGAAACTAGCCATGGGGGGGGGGTGTCTTTGTGGCTTCAGAAAGTCTCATGTTAAACGGGAGTGGAAACTTTGGGGGAAGGGTGGGGATTTAGTCAGCCAAGTGCCTCAGTGTGCCCTGTTAAAACTTGGGTCTTTCCACATAATTGGATTGTATCATAGGAGGACTCTTTTCCTTTTCCCCTGGTTTTTGGTTCCTCCTGTATGAGAAAGCGGTGGTTTTGCTTGGTGGCCTGGTGGGGCTCAGTTCTGCCACCTGCCACTTAAAAACCTCCCGACGTCTTTACTTCTGAGTCTTTTATAAAAAGTAGTTGTAGATGGGGGAGGGGGAATGGGCGGGGAGTGGACAGTAAGACATACTGCAGTCAATTTTGAATTGCTAAGTAGTTTCACAGAGCTAGGTCTGTGTGTATGTGTGTATATGTATATATACGTATCTAGGGCTAGTACTTAACGTTTCACACCCGGGAGCTGGGAGAAAAAAACCTGTACAGTCGTCTTTTATTTTTAATAATATAGGAAAATGCGCACTTGCGCGTGGTTCCCCCCCCCTTTCTTTTTTTTTAAACAAGTGTTATTTGTGCCGGGAAGAATTTGAGGTCTTTGTAATTTTAAAAACTTTAAAATAAAATTGAAAAATGAAAAAAACCTGAGCGGTGCATTTTCCCTCACTTTTAAGACTGGAGGCGAATGCGGAGCAATCGGGCAGGCAAGCTGGGGTGAAATCCTGGGGGCGTTTGCACCTGCGAATGAGGGACAGTTCCGGGAAACGGGGCTGAAGAGTACAGAGCGTGCCTCTGCCTGCTTCTAGGGTCTTGCGTTTGGGGTCCAGGGTGCACCCCCTTTCCTTCCGAGCGCTGGGTGTGTAGGCAGGGGATGGGAGTAGGGTGGGGGTCTGGTGGGCTGGGCCCTGGGGCGCGCCACCCTCCGCCGGGTCGCCTCTTCTTCCCCCACGCGGTGCGTTCCAGTCACAACTTAGACACCAGTCCATTTTCATCCTCTGCCGGTCCCGCCAGGCCCCGCCCACCCACCGCTGGGCCCGCCTCCCCGCCCCTTTAACGGCCCTCTCGCTCCGATTGGCTGCCGTGGCCCGCCCTTCTCCCCACCCCCCGGCCGGCCACGGGACCGGGCGCTGGCCGCCGTGCGCACAGCCCCTGGGCCGGCCTGAGCGCTCGGGTGACGGGGGGCACCATGTGGGCCGGTCGTGTGCTCCACGCTGCTCTGTCCGCAGTCCCCCGCGGCCGCCGCGCGCAGTCGGCGCTGACCCAGCTGCGTGGCGTCCTGGAGGAAGAGCTGGAAGCGATCCGCGGGGCTGGCACCTGGAAGAGCGAGCGGGTCATTACGTCCCGTCAGGGGCCGCGCATCCACGTGGACGGCGTCTCCGGAGGTAACTCCCCGCTCCCGGGAGTTGTCGGACCTGGCCGGTGTTCGAAGACCCTTGTTCCAGGCCGGCGCTGGAATGGAGGGCCGGGGGGCAGGGGGCGGGTGGCAGTATCTGCACGCGTAGCCGCTGGCCCCGTTCCCAATCCATCAGGCTGACTTTCCGGCTTCCCAGGGTTACCTGTAACCTAGTTAAACCTGTTTCCACGGAGGGAGGTGATTTGCTGCTGAGCACCTTCTTGACTCAGAGGGTAGGGCTGGAGTGAGACCCGGTCCTGTGAGAACGTGAGAGAAAAAGAGAGACACCCAGCTGGCTCCCACCGGGCCAGTTCAAGGAAGGGTGGTGGGAGGCGGCGGCGAGAAGCCCTGCATTTCTGGAGCTGCTTCTTGTGCAGGTCTCCACCACCTGCTGCACGGGGGCGCCTGCAAACCTCCAAACTCGGGAATAACTACTCCCACTGTACAGACAAAGAAGCTGAGGCTCAGAGATGTGAAATGGCTTGCCCAAAAGCCCCTGCTGGCGGCAGGCAGAGCTGGGCTTTGGTCCAGGTCCTCCTGTATTTTGGAGCTGGAAGGTCAGCTAATGGGTCAGAGAAGCTAACTTGCTGGCCAGAGTCACAGCGAGTAAGGGGCCACCAGCTGCTGCAGGAGTCACGCCATGAATTGGTCCACTGGGCCTTTCTCATGCCTATCTAACCAGTGGTCACCACCTGTCTTGTCTGTGCTGGGCCCCAGGTGGTGCTGGTTATAAACAGGCTCCCAAACCCACCTTCTGCTCAGGAAATAGGCCTGGGATCCTTGGTGCTGTTGTACTCATTTGTAAACCGAGGTCCCCAAAAATCTCTGCCTCCCTCCCCACCCTCGCCTGGGGGAAGCTTGGAGCAGGTCAAAAGATGGGAAATGAGGAAACAGAGGTTCTCATCTTGCTTTTGCCCTTTACAGGCCTCAGTTTCCCACTCATGTCAGCTGTGTTCACTTTGGGCTTTATAAATCAGGAGTTGAGGTCTCAGAGAAACAGAGGAAACAGGTTCTCATCTTGCTTTTGCCCTTTACAGGCCTCAGTTTCCCACTCATGACAGCTGTGTTCACTTTGGGCTTTATAAATCAGGAGTTGAGGTCTCAGAGAAACAGAGGAAACAGAGGTTCTCATCTTGCTTTTGCCCTTTACAGGCCTCAGTTTCCCACTCATGTCAGCTGTGTTCACTTTGGGCTTTATAAATCAGGAGTTGAGGTCTCAGAGAAACCCCCCACATCCACACACTTTAGGCACGTGATTCTGTACCAGGCAGCAAAGTCAGCTGTGTGGAGTCTGAGGACCACGGTGGGCACCTGAGCCAGCTCTCTTTTACCCACAAGGGAGCCAAGGCCCACGTGAGGGGTTGCTGATAGTCTGCAAGGACAGGAGAAGCCTGTGAGGGAGGGCTACATTCCTCATTGGGTGGAACGTGATTCAGAGCCAGGTCTAAACTTACCTTTTAAGGCACCACTCTGAGGGGCCTTTCCTAAGCTTCCCTCTCCTGTAGCTGTCGGATTCAGTACCTCCTAGCGGCCCCTAGTTCCCCCATCCTGACCTCTGCCCCAGAGTGGGTCATACTGTGTGCTTGTTGCCTTCTCAAGGGTGAATCCAGGGTCGTTTCCTCTCTAAGTCCCCAGGGCCTGGCACTGACGCTTTTCCAGGCCCTTTCCTGCCCTGAGCTGCTGTATCCATACCGCCCTCCGCCTCAGGAATCCTTTTTTTTTTTTTTTTCACCTCAGGAATCCTTAACTTCTGTGCCAACAACTACCTGGGCCTGAGCAGCCACCCCGAGGTGATCCAGGCAGGTCTGCAGGCCCTGGAGGAGTTTGGAGCTGGCCTTAGTTCTACCCGCTTCATCTGTGGGACCCAGGTACACAGAGGGTGTTGCGGGGTTTGGGGGGGTGCCTTGTCCCCAGGGTTGGGCACTGACCCCAACTGCCTGCTTCCCACAGTCAACAGGGCTGGTTTAGCCAGCTCAGCTCATCCCAGGGCCCTGCGCCCACTCTTAGCCTAGAGCTATCCACCAGAAAGGCCGGTTCAGGCTCCTCTTTTGTGTTGCAAAAGAAACTCTTCCTCTCAGGGCATCCCTTTCCCCCACCTGCATGCAAAAATGCTTAGAACAGTGCCTGGCACGTAGAAGCGCTCAATAAATGTTGATTATTTTATTGTATAAACGTTACAAAATAAACGTACACATATGAAACTTATAGTGCTTCCCGTGTACCAGGTACTGTATTAAGAACATTACAGGGGCGCCTGGGTGGCTCAGTCGTTAAGCGTCTGCCTTCAACTCAGGTCTTGATCCCAGGGTCCTGGGATCGAGCCCTGCATCGGGCTCCCTGCTCTGTGGGAAGCCTGCTTCTCCCTCTCCCACTCCCCCTGCCTGTGTTCCCTCTCTCGCTGTGTTTCTCGCTGTCAAATAAATAAATAAAATCTTTAAAAAAAAAAAAAAAGAACATTACCAATATTAACTTATTAATGCTGCTAACAGTCATAAGTGATAGGTGCTATTCTTGTCTCTGTTACAGAGGTGAGGGTGCCGAAGCCCGGAGAAATTAAATGACTTGCTCTAGGGCAAGGGTTATGATAGGAGTTTAACCCAGGAGGCTTGGCTCCTGACTACTTGTGATTATTATAACCCATCTTCTCAGAACAGGGACGGTGAAATGAATGTCAGAAGCAGGACTGCTAACTCCCAGCCAGGGCACTTTCCGACAAAACCCTCACCCTGACCGGACAGCTTTCAAATATAAGAATTTGAGGCCCAAAGGAACCTACGTGATCCTTTTCTTTGCCATTAAGCAACCAAAAAAGGCACTTCGTTTGATGTCGGGAAGACAGCTCCCCTTGCCATCATCACCCATAATTCCTCATTGGGACCCCTCAGTGGGGTCTCCCCATTACAAACGAAGGCCCAACCAGGAAGGGACACCGAGTGAGCCCCTGATTCCTCAGGGAGAACCATCTGCCAGGTTCCTGTTGACTCTGGGGGAACCCTTGTGATGAAGAAAGAAGGGAGAGGCCAAGGCTGTAGGCCTTCTGTGATGAGTCTGTGACCCTCTAAGCCTCTGTCCCCAGGACTTGTTTCATGTGACCCTGCAGGCATTAACACCTGTTTCACTCTGTTTCTTTAGACCATCCACAAGGATCTAGAAGCAAAGATAGCCCGCTTCCACCAGCGGGAGGATGCCATCCTGTATCCTAGCTGTTTTGATGCCAACGCTGGCCTCTTTGAGGTGTGGGGAGAGGGGAGGGCACAGGTGGGAGTTGGTGAGGACTGCTAGGCTGTGGAAGGCTTGGGAGTGAGCAGTGAGGAGGACCTGGCAGGGTGTCCGTGCCACTCCTAGAGGCTCTAGTGCCCATTTCTTATGGAGGCTAAGGTTGGGCCAAGTAGGTGCTCCAGGAGGAATCCTGGGACCTGCAAGGGACCAGCTTCCAGGGCACCGGGGAGATAACCTACGTCAGTGGGAAGGCCAGAGATAGCCAGGGCCAGGTACTCGCCAAACACGTTCTCACCTGCTCTCACAGGACCTGGGGCCCTGGGGACCCAGATAGAGGCAGATAGGGGCTCCATGCCTCCCTGCCCAGAGGAATGCACTGGATGGCAGTGACATTTTGACTCAGGTAGACATGGGGAGGGAGAACCCCCTACCTAGGTGGTCGGGCAATCGCTCTACTCCAACTGCCTTGTTCCAGGCCCTGCTGACCCCACAGGATGCAGTCCTGTCGGATGAGCTGAACCATGCCTCCATCATCGACGGCATCCGTCTGTGCAAGGCCCATAAGTACCGCTATCGCCACCTGGACATGACTGACTTGGAGGCCAAGCTGCAGGAGGCCCAGGTGGGGTGAGGCCCAGGTGGGGTGAGGCCCAAGGGTTCCAGAGGCAAGAACCGGGCTTATGCTCAGCCTCAGCACTGGTGAATGAACTGAGGCTTGGAGGGACCAACTTTGCACTCGCAGACAAAGAACATGAAAGTTTGAAACAGTCAAGAGCTGAACCCAAATCCCTCCGCCCTAAGGCTTTATTCCATTGTCCCATGCTGCCTTGACTTTCAGCAATCACCTTATGTGTGGCAGGGCCTGCTGGGCATAAAGGTAGGATGAGCTCCGGGATAGAAGTGGCCCCACCCCACCCTCCCTCTCGCAGGGGAGACTGAGCTGTTCTCACTGGCCAGGACTGCCCTGGAAGAGGTGGGCAAGGCTCAGGGAGGCACAGATGAGGGGCAGGATGTTCCAGCCCCAACACAGTAA